CGATTCCGTATTCGCTGGTACTTTCGTAGTTTTAAGAGCCCTGTACATTATTTCAAGGCAAGCTTCGCTCTGGATCTGCTTCTGGTGGCTGATGTAGTCGATTTCTTGCTACCAGCGTGTTTACGACATTAAACTTCCGTCGTCGTTAATGGGTATTTATTGATGCCGCGACAACAGATGGAAGGGTGCAATTGCGACCAGACGAGAATCCGGAATATATAAGGATTTAATGACGCACAATTTCTACTAACCATACAGCTGAAGTCGGTGATTTCCGTTTTCCTCAGTGTGTGATTCCCTGTGTAACTCATTTGCTGACTGCACAACTGATTTCTTAACCTCAACGCATAAAACTTCTTGAATTTCGAAAGCTTTAAACGTTATTCATGAAATAATGGGCGAAAAGGCAACATGGGTGGCTGATTATTTATTGGAAAGTCGGATTAATTTCCAAAATTTACTCTCATGTCGGTTTCCCCTGGCGGAGAGACAATTACCAGCGAATTAAGAATCACGTAACATAAAGAAGAGTAATGCAGCGCCCAACTCTTTCATAGAAGTCGCGAAGGTCAGGAATAAACGTGAAAATACTCAGCGACTTCAGCTTATGAAGTATGCCATTTAAGTACAGCCCTACATCAGATACACTGAGTACAATTGAGAGAAAAAATTAAGACGTTGTGCCTTTTAATCTCGAAGCAGGAGTGATGGTATATTTCCATCATGCCGTCTACCTTTCGCATGGAACATATAATCTGAAGCCAGGAAAACCCGAGAGTTGCCGGTCCAAAGCCTAGATGAGAGAAGAGGAAACTTTTGGACAGTGGTGAGGTCCTCCGTAGAACTTCGCCACCTGCTGCTCATAATACTGGAAAAATGAAACGTTGCCCGCTCAGTGTGTTCAAAGCCGACCTGATGGTTCGAGAATTGAAACAGACTGCAGAAGGCACAAAGTCAGCCCTGGGTCGGACCTGCGTCACCACTTCTAACAGCTGGAGCAAGTAGTAGATGAAGTAAAAACATTCACGTACCTCAGGGCCGTGAGTACTGAGGAAAAAAGTGGGAGGAGAGATCGACCATCGAACTGGATGTGCCAGAAGTGTTTTTTGTGAACAGGTAAGAACTGTTGTACCGAAGCAAAGTTAATTCTGAAAATTATGCCGTCTGTGCTTAAAGCGGATTCTTGTTCCCATGCTCATGCATGCTCTTCAGTTGTGAACTATGATTGAAATACTTTGCTCCCGGGTATAATCAACAGGAAACAGCTTGGCTCTCTGTGACAAATCGTTGGTCATGGTCCACAGTTCATATATCAATGAGGTTGTTCTTGTGCTCGCTGTAATGTGTCCTCTACGGAGAAATAGTCACCGTTATCATGATTTGGGCAGGTCTTATGAAAGCTTCCAGAAAGGAACGCGAAGCAGCTGTTACTTGGACAATCCACTGGCACAAGACCGTAGCATAACCAGGAGTCACTGGGCAGGTCGTCTATACAGACGCTGTACCAGACTCAAATTTTCTTCGCCTGAGACTCAGAGGCTAGCACAGAACTCGGAACCTGAGAGACACTGTCTGACGCGTATGCCTCGACCACTCAAAACGATAAACGGTCCTCGAAACTGACATAGTCGACTCGACGAATGACATAAAGAACAGAAGAATATAATACCTCTAATACACTATAATAATGACTTTACCATTTGTCAATTCCTTACGTCAAGAACCATTGAAGGATCATTATCCTATTAAAATTTCTGTTTATTCTTACTCATTGCTTAAACATTATGAGGTCATACCTTGAGCCGATCATCACACTGATTAATTAGCTATCAAAGCGAAATACTGCCACAGGGGACCCTGCCATTAGATACCATGGCCACACACTTTGTCCATTCCGGTATGACCTGAACAAAATTCCACGCTGCCCCTATCTTTTTGCAGGTCATTGACAATTGCCCGTTTCTTGGCTGGTTGCGACGAAGACTTTTCCGCACTCAATAGTCAGTGGCTGAGTTAGCGTTAAAGACAAACTTTTTCTCTCAGCGGATAGGGACCAACTGTCTGCCGTTCAAAGCCGACCTCCTAGTCACTGCACCACCATGCCCTCAGGTGGATGTGAGGATTGTGGGAGGCGGGAGGGGGCTGTTGTACTTAGGCTGAAACGTGGACAGTTCGAATAAAGACTCTAGTATATCTGTCTCCTTTATCTAGATTCCGTTGAAGAGGTATTTTACTGAAGAAGGTAGAATTGTAGTCAGTGTCAGAAACTGAATTACATTCATACTTATGTAAACAACGTCACGGTTGCTACTGTTGTTTACATTAATGCTTACGTTTAATATCACCTTAACTCCGTGAGTTGTTAGCAAGTTTGGAGCGCTAGTCCCTGTCTGAAGTTCAACACTTATTCCATTACTCTGCTAGTATCTATAGATGTTATTTCTCGCAAAGTCAGAAGACTTGACATTTAATATTGATGGCAGAAGCGAAAAAATTTTTGTGTTCCTATGTTGTTATTCCTCTAGTTCTTTGGCACCGTACAAGAGCGTTTGCCAGGTCTCGAAAGATTTACACCACTAGAGAATCGCAGTGCTTCTGATAGCTAATATGACTGGTCTCATCTTCCTTCTTGTTTAATATCAAAAATGCCAGGTGATCCTAACACATAAATACCAGTGCATAACCCTGAGGTTACCCTGCTGCTTAAGTTCTGTTAGCCTTCGATGAACGGGGCTAAATAAACCAAGTTATTACCTTTTCCATGAAGACACCGTCGCACCTCGATATTTTTATAATGTTTTCATTATGATGCTCAAGGTGGAAACAGTAGTTATGTATGCATAACGCAAATATGCGCCAATCTGCACTGCTCATAAATAAACAGTGTTTTATGCAGTTTTCTCTGTGACCAACAACGGACCAGTCAAATTTTCAAATCCCCAATCTTCTGAGACCACGTTTGTATGTACATCCACAAGTTGTAAATTAGCGTACGTGGCAGATCAGAGGAAAGTCAATCGTCCGAACGAGTCTTTCCATTGTACAGCTTGCACTGGGTAGGTTTCTGCTTTCGCCTTGAACAAGACCTGATGTTTTTCACACGGAATCCACCAGACTCTAGCCGGTTTCTTGTTTACAGCCACCGCCAGATGACTCACGTTACAAGCGGTGGTGAACAAACGTGCACGAAGTCGTTACACCTCCTTTGTGTCTGAGCCCGTAAAATCCACAGTCATAAATGAGACGCCACCACAACATCAAAAGTGATTTTCTGCCCTTTTGATTCGCTACAATTTCATTAGGACCATTCTTCACCGTCGACCTCTTTTCATGTAGATTACCGTAAATGGTTGCCGTTTGAAAATAAACATCAGCTTGGGCCGATAACTTATAGACGATATGGTGTCAAAATTGTGACATTCGCTGATGATGAAACCAAAAGAAAACTCCAACGACGCTGAGTAAGTCTGTGCTATGGTTTCAAGAAGGGTGTACTGTAGAAAACTCATTTTCGGGTAGTGGGCGTTCAAGTTTACTGAACATTATTCGTGTTTTAAGCCGAACTCAGCTGATACTTCATGATCGGTTTCATCTTCTTTCATGTATGCTGAGATGTATGTCTGCTTTCTCTTTAGCGAAAAGAACAGCCCTGCGATAGTAGAACTTCCCTTTCCCAGTGAGTGAAAATGAGTACACTCTCAGGCTCACTAGTTGGATAGGAAGGTTCTAGGGAATGTTCTGAGGTAGTGGACTAACGCAAAAATGATAGTAGGGATTGGGCACTTAATGAATAATTATTAATTAACGGATTGTAACTTGTGCCGAGTGTTAGTCATCTGTTAAGTGGATCACGGCCAGTTGTGTCGGTAGAGCTCAAGAATTTCACCCATTGCCAAAAGCCAGCCATGTTTTGATATCTCCAAACAAAAATACCGTATGCTGTAAATAACTGGTATGTCAGCGGTTCGGATGAATGACCAGTACCAACGTTTTAGTCCGTGTCTTGGGTCTTCTCAAAAGAAGAGAACTGGTTAGGTTTTCTAAGTAGTTTCAGTCGTTCTCAGCGAGTACGACTAGTTCGTACATTTGGATCGAAAAGGTGAGCTTGTCATCCGTGCAACCCTGTTAAATACTTTCGTGGTAGCAGGAGCTACAAGTACTCATCTAATCCAAGCAGAATTCCTGACATTTGTGACAGCTCATGCTTTCTCAGGATTAGATGATTGATGCCTTATTTATACAGCTACTCAGCCGTCGCCATTTCTTCGATTATGCCGGTGCCCTCTGACTATCCAGGAAGAGTCCTTCACCTGATGCGGTCTGCACATTTGCAGTCTTTTCGCATTGTAAAGCACAGTCAAGTACAGTGGGGTGCATTGCTGACTTCAGTGATTTGACAGTTGTAAGAAACTTTTACGAGGGAGTAAGACTCCAGTCCCGTACATTTATACTGTAGAGGATTGCTACAATGAACTGCACCAGCGCCTTCTTCCCTCTAGAAAAATGACACATTCTCGTAAGAATCATGGTCGGGTGGACGAATGTTCTTGCCATTTGAAGGCGTAAGTACATTTATTATGTACTTACTGAATCACGCCATCAATGAACACAAGTGCAAGTACGTGTACACTTATATACAGGGTTGGTTCTGATAACAATTCAGACGAAAGCGTTTCAACCTATGTCCAAATTCTGAAGATATTTTTATCACCATATTTGGAAAGCCTTCAAGACGTAAGAATGCCTTTCCGTTACTCGTTGTAAGTTTCAATTTGAGGGTTCCTGGCAAACCTCCATGCGGCCCCAGATGTCGAAGCAAAACTATTCCCTTACTTCCTCTTGACTGCGATTTTACTGTGACCATTGTCCGGTGTCCACAATGTTGGCACACAGCTAAACGTTTTAGACGGCATAAAATAAAATTAAAATTTTTATAAATAGATCTTCATTTAGACAACAAATGCAATTATGCATCGCTTAGCAAATGCAGATACGGAAAGATGCGTTTAATAACTGGCATCAGCTTTACGGAACAGGTAATCGCAACTAAAAGAGTAATAGAACGTGCGATCAGAAGCATGACCAACTGGTGAGGCTGTTACAGGTTGGCTCTTAGTAGAGACAGTGGTGATGACTTGTCTCGCAACAAGATATGTCTACACAGCGACACAGCGCATCAAATGATATAAAAAGTTAATTGGTCGACTAAATTGAAAACTGAAACATGAAAATCGTCTAGGCTGCCTTTCAGATGGACAGTTTTTGCTGGTTTATGGTGCTAAGCCACCACCCTTGATAATAACACGATAACCTGATACGATATTTAGACCAGAACGTGCCGAGGTGGCTACGGATGGATCGTTGTTATGGCGACGTTTGTTACGTATTTTATTGCCGATGGAATTTCGTTCAGCTTCGGCGTTTTGTTGCCTGTAATCGAGGACCAATTTCATTGCAGTAAAAGCGAAAGTCCAATCGTCGGATCAATATATTGGGGCGCGACTCAACTGGCCCGACCTCTGGCTAGCAGCCTCATAGAAAGCCACGACTCCAGAATCGTCGCTGTCATAAGCGCGACAGTCAGTTTCATTGCCATTTTCATCAGGTAACGATGCTGTTTCGAACCACCTGAGCAATCGGCAAATATGCGCAGCTGTTAAAGCTTCCGAGCGTTCATAATCTGCACACGCGTTAATGTTCGTTTGAATAAAAGTTAGCAATCATGAAGATCAGTTGTATCATGAGCATCACGATTGACAGTACGGTAAACTTACAGTGCATCATGATAAT